CGTCTACATCTACAACCACATTTACGGCTACATACATATATACTATATATATACACATATATCTGTATGCGCACACGCAGATCCACCACCGTGCCTCTTGGCACGAAGTGGAACGCCCCAAGGCTCACACAGCTGTGCTGCTCCTGTAACCTTTGTTTTGACCTCGACAGGCCTCACCGCATAAGCAAAAGGCGACTCCACACAGCATTGGTGGGAAATGCCGTGAGCTTTCTGCACCGTGCAGCAGGCGCAAAAAAAACGACCTCGCCTTCGGCTCCCTTTGCGCCTTCCGCTGGGCCCGAAACGGCCGGAAGACAAATTAGTGCACTTTGGGGGCCACGGGACCACCTACTCATTGTTATTATATATACATGCATGCATACATATTCATACGTGTCCATACACATACACATACACATACACACATACACAGATACATATGCATCAACATCTCTATGTGTTCCTCTCTCTCTCTAAATATACATATACGTATAGATACAGCTGCACTGACATATACAACTACAACTACATCTAAACATGTATCTCCATCTACATCCACGTCCACATCCACATGTGCATCTACATCTACATCCACATCTACACACATCTACATCCACATGTACGCCTACGTATACGCATACGTCTACGTCTACATCTACAACCACATTTACGGCTACATACATATATACTATATATACACATTTATCTGTATGCGCACACGCAGATCCACCACCGTGCCTCTTGGCACGAAGTGGAACGCCCCAAGGCTCACACAGCTGTGCTGCTCCTGTAACCTTTGTTTTGACCTCGACAGGCCTCACCGCATAAGCAAAAGGCGACTCCACACAGCATTGGTGGGAAATGCCGTGAGCTTTCTGCACCGTGCAGCAGGCGCAAAAAAAACGACCTCGCCGTCGGCTAAATTTCTCAAGGGCAGGGCCCCCCAAACTTGGGTCTGCCCGGGCCTGCCCGGGGTGGCTCGCGTGAGATCTGAGGTGTTTCCCGCGCCTCTGGTGGACGCTGTGCCTCCCCCCGGCCCCCCTCCTCCCATCCGAGGAGGAGGAGGAGGAGGAGGAGGAGGAGGAGGATACGCCACTAGCTGACGGACGCCGCGCTCCCAAAAGAGCGGCAAGCGCGCTCGAAAGAGAGGGCAATCACACGTGACCGCCCGACGCCTGTCTACCGCCACGCCCCCACCAAAGGATCACGGAACGTGGCGCAAGCAGACAAGGAAGGGGAACAAGAGGAAGCAGGCGAGGTGCGCTTAGGAGGAGGAGGAGGCGGAGGAGGAGGAGGAGGAGGTGGAGGTCAACGAAAGGAGGGCGTCTCCAGGAGGGCTCTGAGTCGCCGAAAGAACGCTCCAAGACGCCCAATGTGGTCTCAAGATAGCCCTAGAGGCCTTCAAGACTCCCTAAGAGACCTCCTAAGAGGTCCCAAGGAGGCACAAATCATTGATGTTCCATCGGTGTTTGAAGGATTTTAGCATAGTCGCCGCTTCTGCTTTCCAACGCTCCAAGACGGCCCAGGAGGCCCAAAAGACCACCCCAAGACAGCCCAAGAGTCCTCCAAGAGGGCTTCAAGACGGCCCACGAGCGCCCCAAGACGGCACAGGAGGCGCCCAAGACGGCCCAGGAGGGTCCCAATACGGCCACAAAAAGGACCCAAGAGAGGGAACATGAACCGTGCGTCCGAGCCTTCCGCCCCAAGAGGCCCCCAGGAGGCCCCAAGAGGTGCCCAAGAGGTCCCAAGAGGCGCCCAAGAGTCCCCCAAGAGGCCCCAAAAAGGCCCTAAAGAAGCCCCAATGCGGCCCCAAAATGCTACAAGAGGCTTCAAAACTGCCTCCAAGAGGCCCCCGAAAGGTCCCCCACGAGATCCCAACGAACATCCGAAAGCTTCATACCCATCACCCAGGCACGGTGGCGGGATGGACCGAAGGCTACTAGATCCGCCGCTCCCTGTTGGCTTGCCACAGGGGTGCCCGGCGTGCTAGATCCTTTCGATGTTGGTTTTGGTCCTTTTCTAAAAGAACTCCCCCTAGGGCTTCGGCCGATCCCGCCAAGGTCTCAGAAACCACCTCAACGACCGCAAACAATTCTCCAAGACGGCTCAAGCTAGACGTTAAGATGGTCACGTTGGCACAAGATGGCCTCCAAAATTGCCTCCAAGTCGCCAAAGATGGTCCAAGATGGCTTCCAGGACGGCCTGAGAGCCCAAGATGCCTTCAAGTTCGTCCAAGAAGCCTCCAAGACGGCCCAAGATGGCTCAAAGATGGTCGAAGACTGGCCAAGAGGCCCCCAAGAGGCCTCCAAGCCGTCTTCCAGGAAGGCCCGAAGAGGCAAAATCATTGTTTTTCCATAGGTTCTTGAAGGATTCTGGCATTTTCTTCTTATCAGCTTTCCGACGACCCAAAACGGTCCAGGAAGCCCCCAACATCGTCCCAAGAGCGTCCAAGAGGCCTTCAGGATGGCCCCATGATATGCCAGGCCCCCAACATCGTGGGCCCCACCAAGACCCCAAGACGGCCCAAGATGGCCCCCGAGACGGCCCAAGATGGCCCCCAAGACGCCCAAGATGGCCTCCAAGATGCCTCCAAGACGGCCAAGAAGGCCTTCAAGACGGCGAAGATGGCCCCAAGATGCACCCAGGACGGCCCCAGATGGCCTGAAAATGGCCTTAGACTGCCCAAAAGGCTCGCCAAAAGCCTCCAAGACGGCCAAGATCCTTCCAAGACTTCATCCAGGAGGCCCGAAAACTCGGAAACCAACTGGTCCGATAGCTCGCCCGATTCCGTGTTCCCCAAAGGCTTTCGAAACCCACTCGGGGAACGCGTGGCCCGATAGCTTGGCCAAGCTCAAACCCAACTGTCGGCCATGCAGGTGCTTCCAAGAAGGCAGGGGCCGGCGGTGATTCGCCGCAGATGTACATACAGTTGTAGAGAGAGAGAGGGAGAGAGACATAGAGAGAGAGGGAGGGTGGAGAGAGAGAGAGAGAGAGAAAGAGAGAGAGAGAGAACGCGATAATGAGAGATTGAGGGGTGAAGATGGACGAGGGAGACAAGAGGCCAGAGGCGGGATGGCGGAGAGCGGGATACACTGTGACAGGAGCCACACGAGGACTGCGGAGGACGAAATGCGAGAGGATGGAACAAAAAAAGGACATGAGCGGCGCAGAGCATAGGAGTAAGGGAGGGACGACGAGAAATGGACGAGCCAAGACGGGGGGGATAAAGGAAAGAGGAGCGAAACTGACAGATATGAACGGGGAGACTGCCCGGGACAACGAGGGGGAAAGGACGGAGCAATAGCGGTATCCATGGTACAAGATACCGAATACTAAGTGGAGCGGAATAGCCTGAACAATGTAACATACGGGAAGGGTGACGGTACAAATGAGGATGATAAATCCGCGTATGAGCACTAGTACGTCCATGGAATGCTGTGCAGTGTGACAAGCTAGTAATCCCACCAGCCCTTTGGGCGTGAGTGGTTTAGAGAGCCCGCTCTGTCCTCAACCCCCCTTCTTCCCCTTCGGGGAGGGGTTTACCCCTCCCCCTACCCCCTCCCCCTGGGCCTGGAGAGGGCGCCCCGCGGGTGGTTGGATGGGTCTTTTCCGACTCCTGGGAGGGCCAAAAAACGACGACCCTCACGAGGATTCTGGCCCCGGGGGGGGGAGGGAGTTTAGCGCCTCAGCTCGTCTTTGAAGCCAAAAACATTGATTTTACTAAGGTTTTGGCCCCATGTTGGCCTTCTGAGGGGGCCGCGCTCATCTTCCCTCATAGCAAAATCATTGATTTTACGAAGGTTGTGGGCTCATTTTGTCCTTCCCACGGGGCAGCGCTCATCTGCGCTTCTGAGGAGGTCGCAAGAGGCCCCAAGATGGCCCCAAGAGGCAGAGGCCCCCAAGAGGCCCCCAAGAGGCCCCAAGAGGTCCCCAAGAGGCCTCCAAGAGGCGCCCAAGAGGCCCCCAGAGGCTCCAAGAGGCCCCCAAGAGGCCCCCAAGAGGCCCCCAAGAGGCCCCCAAGAGGCCCCCAAGAGGCCCCAAGAAGCTCCAAGAGGCCCCCAAGAGGCCCCACGAGGAGCCCGAACGACTCACACCAGGACGAGAGACCCCAACGACTCACACCACGAGGAGCCCGAACGACTCACACCACAAGGAAGGGCCCGAACGACTCACACCAGGACGAGGCGCCCGAACGACTCACACCACGAGGAGCCCGAACGACTCACACCACGACGCGGGCCCCGAACGACTCACACCACGAGGAGCCCGAACGAGTCACACCAGGAGGAGGGGCCCGAACGACTCACACCAGGATGAGGGGCCCGAACAACTCACACCACGAGAAGCCCGAACGACTCACACCAGGACGAAGAGCCCGAACGACTCACACCACGAAGAGCCCGAACGACTCACACCAGGAAGAAGGGCCCGAACGACTCACACCAGGACGAGAAACCCCAAACGACTCAAATCACGAGGAGCGCTTTCTCTCCCTCCTCCTCCGCCTCGTCCTTCTCCCGCTCCCCCCACAAGGAGGATGTACAAGGAGGCGGGAGGAACAAGGAACAGGGGAGATATGCGGGGCCAAGCGGACACACGGCTGAAAAACACGACTGTCGGCATGCTTCGCAAGAGTTGCTGCTGTGAGATGGGCTGGTGGGGATACGCGAAGCGTAAAGAATTCGAAGATTGCGAATCATGCTGAGGGGGATACAGGCGGATGAGAGGATGTGAGATGGGCGTGTAATAGGGGAGGTCGATCGGGGGTGAGCAAGACGATGAGGACGGAATTGGGACTTTGCAGGATATGACGGTCAGGAGGCCTAGCCATCCATTCCATTCTGGTCTATCCCTCCGGTCCACATCCTCAACCACCTCGAAAACACCTAATCTTCGCAAGTTCCGCGTCCTCGTACGACGCACCCCCCCCCCCACACCCCCCCAAAAAAAACCAAATGGCACGGAGACACAGCGGGCGGGGACGCCGCACGGGTGAGGGCTCCGAGCGGGCACGTCTTCCATCAGCTTCGTGCCGTCGAACTCGGACACCGCGGCGCACACCTGGCGTCGAAGCCCCCTCGGGGGAAGCAGCGACAACAAGAGCCGACGGGCGATGGAGGAGTGGAAGCAGCCGCAGCTAGATGAGCGAAGCAGGGGGAGCTCCAATGATGAGGGCGAGGAGCGGGGGGAGGGAGAGGAGGAGGAGGAGGAGGAGGAGGAGGAGGAGGAGGAGGAGGAGGAGGAGGGAAGAGAGGCGCCGCAAAGGAGACATGCAGCGAGCGGTGATAAAAGGGGGCAGGGAGAGAGCGGGAGAGGAGAGAAGGGACGGGGAGGGGGGAGAGCACGGGTTGAGAGAAAGAGAGGAGGGATGGGGAGGAGGGATGGGGAGGAGGTGGGAGAGGAGAGGAGGATAGCGAAAAGCGATGGATGGGGAGGAGGGATGGGGACGAGGATGGGGAGCGAGGATGCACGAGGGACGACCCCCCGCGCCTCCACTTCCCTCTTCTCTCCTGCTGCCTCTGCTGCTGCTGCTGCTGCTGCTGCTTCCTCCCCCTTGCCATCGCTCGAGCGTCCATTTTCCCGTGCATTTGTTCGGTTTCGTGCGTGCTTCTTTTTTGTCGCAGGATGATCCAGGATGCTCCTCAACGATCCCGGCCGAGGAAGAGTGCACACGTCCGAGCAATTCCAAGTCCCCGTGGGGTGAACCAGCGCTTTCTTGACACGCAGTTGGGGCGAAGCGGCGCTTGCCTGATCAACGCACGGATGGGGGCCCCCGATGCACGCTGCACGCTGCGATCGTCGCTTCATCCGGGCCGGGGGACGATGATTATCGTTTGACCGTTCCCCATCCCCAACGGCGTGGCCTGGGCCCCACTAGCCGATTTACCCCTCTAGTTGAGGATATAGGGCGTTCCCTTCGGGTTTCGAGGGGTGCATCCCCAACCGGGGAAGCGATCTGGTGGGGATCTCGAAGGGGATGGAGGAGGGAGGAGTGAGGCGTGAGGAGGGAGGCCTTGGCCACGTGCGGCAGCTGCGGCAGCTGCCGCAGGTACTGCTGCTGCATGTCCACTGCCAGACCCCGCATGCACCGGAGGGACCTGGGCGGCCGCCCCGGCGCACCGCGCCGCACCGGGAGGAGGAGGGGGAGGAGGGGGAGGAGGGGGAGGAGGGGGAGGAGGGGGAGGAGGAGGGGAAGGAGGGGGAGGAGGAGGGGAGAGGAGGAGGGAGAGGAGGAGGAGGAGGAGGAGGAGGAGGAGGAGGAGGAGGAGGGGGAGGGAAGGCCGCCATATTCCTGTCGAACACTGGGGGGGTTCCCCCCCCGCGCAAGCGGCCTTCAGAATACTCGTCTGCAGCAATGGCATAGAAGCGTGTCACCTTCAGATGATGGGGCATCGGGCGCCCACCGTGGCATCACTGTGATTCAGTCGGGAAACGTCGCTCGGAGCCAGGACATCATATCAGAATTGCGCAATGGTGATATCATCGGTTTGATAGGAACACGGCAGCGGGCAGGAGAGCGAGAGCGAGAACATCGGCAGTATGAGCAGCGCTGGTCTATTGAATGGGGACGGGGACGGGGACAACATACCAATCGAAGTTGTGGAGTTGCTCTATGGGTAAAGCGACGCCTTGTCTCACCCAGGCAGATTCGAGGTTGTGTACAGGTTCCTCGTTGACTCCAAGGGCGACTGCCGGGAGTTCGACTTGAGAGGGAGGGAGTACGGCTAGCGATGTTTCTTCTTTATTTCCCACCCGTTCCGAGGCGTGCAGAGAGTAAGAAGCAGCAGGTTCGTACAATAGAAACCATGACTAAGTGTATTGCTTCTGCAATGGCATCGGTTTCAGCGAGATGGACCCCGCTCATTTTGTGCGACGCGAACTGAGTTTCAAGAATCGGTCACAGGACACTTTGCGAATGGGCCGATGCATGCTGGGATGGAGAATATGTTGTCTATGTGTCAAGCTCATCAGCTTACAGTACTTAACTCTGAGTGGAACGCTGGGGATACGTATTTGGGAGCCACCAGTGAGCCAAGAACGCTGGACTACATCATTGCCCCTCGTGAGCTTGCTGATCATGTCTCGTGGTGCCGTACGTACCAGCACTCTGCATGGAGACTTCAATCACATCACCACTCGAAGTTGTGGGACCATGTTCCGATGGCATGCAGTATACCATGTGAGTATGTCCAGACTAAGTATGATATATCTGATCGAATTCGTTTCAGTGGTGAAGCTTTGTCGATGGTGGTGCAAAGAGGCTGGAAACGTGCTGAATAGCTCAAGAGCGTTGAAAGGAGCTTAAATGCGAAATGGGAGTCGATACGCCAGCTACCTTCGAGTAAAGCAATGGATATGGCGAATGAGACCCTGACGACCACGCTCAATGAATGTGCTCAGCCGTTTTCTCTCGAGAGCCCGCTTTATACATAATATCACAAACGACACAGTGAAGAAGTTTCACGCCTGCCATTCCAGCGACGGGGACTCAAAAGTGCTTTCGCTGGACTTGCTGACCAGCGCCTCCAGGAGGCCCAAGGCGTCCAGCACCAATGTGCTTTTGATCTGGAGGCGGAGGAGTTGCGTCTCACCCTCGCCACCCGTCGCAGCAGTAAGCGGTTGAGGCATCTTCAGAAGCTGGGAGCGGGTAGCAAACGATAGATGTATCGTCTTTAAGGAAGCAGTAGAGCGCATTGACGGATACATGATCCATAAGATGATCCGCCGACTTGCACAAACCTCAAGAGGAGGAAGGAAGAGAGCGTATGGAATAAGGGTGAGGGGGCACACGGTGGAGGAGTGGAGTGCTAAAGTAGCAAAGCCAGGGCCGCAAGGTGGGTGCTCTGCTAAACTCATGGACGGGAATGACTGTATGAGGAAAGGGCTCGGGGATTTCTGAGACCTGAAATGGTGCATTCGGAGGGAATCTAGGAGGATTACGAGAGAGTATATACGGCCCTTTGGCAGACTAGACTCTGGAAGGCGAGCCCTCGATGAAGCTGCCCGACGGAGCTACTTCGTGCATGCTTTTCCCCAGATGGCAGAATCCCAGGATGACGGAGGAGAGCTGCGGGATTGGCTACATCCCTGAGACTAAGAACCTCATGGCCCCATGTTTCCAAAAGTTTATCTGCTTCATCCTGCGCCCAAGTTCGCGCTTGCTGTTGGCTTCCTGCAGCTTGGCTACGAGCAGAGGCATCGAGGGTGGGAAGGCAAACGAGAAGGAGGGGGTGGTCGGGGAGAGAATCGTGATGATGGTCTGTTCTCTGGGCAAGGTCTTTTACCGCAGTGTCCTGGTGAGGGCGCCTGAGATCGCTATTCCAAGCTGGGCGTATGGTGCGCTCGTGTGCGTTCGATAGCCATACCTCCGGTGTTACCTGATGTCTGGCTTCGCCAGGGGGTGGCCCTGCACCGAGTGGTTCAGCCTTCTGCAGTCCGTGGCCTACCCCCAGCAGATCAATCTGCATCAACCCCCGTCAGTACTTGCATCGTTGTGCCCCCGAACCGCGAGAGTCGGATACGTTGTGTATGAACTGACTACAGGCTCGGCTCTACCTCGTGTGGGCAGACCGGGGCTCATCTCTCTCATTCGACGGACGGGCTTCAGCCACACCTCTACGTCAGTGAGCCATGGTGAGTGAGGCCATTCTCTGCTAGCTGCCCTCTTTTCTTGGCGCTGCCGCGTGCCCCGGCTGGCGTTCACTCTTGCACCTTTTCTCTCTCTGGCCCCGCCTCCATTTGTAAAGCGGCCGGTGGCTGGCGCCGCCAGGCGACTTCCCGCCGTTCCAGTTCCGTCTCTGTGCCGGTCGCCGCGCTCGTCCCCACCCGGCGGGATGCACGGCTTGACTCTATACGGTCGCGTTGAGCTGCTGGTGCCTGTCGCCCATGGGCGTTTTCGTCGCCGATTCGCCGCCTGCCGCGCCGTGGTGTCCCCACCGCTGGGACGTCTACGCCGGCCTTTGGCGTTTAATTCGGGTCATTTTGTCCCTCGTATGTGCATATGCCACTGCGGCCAATTAGCTTCGTTCGCGCCCCGTTCGTTGTTGACCCGCTTCCCGACATTCGCATGGGAGCCGCCGACCAAAAAGTATGGGGCGCTCAAATGCCGACACCGTGAATCGGCCATTGTTGTACAGATGTGTTCGGCTTGGAGAATGCGAAGTTTGGGCATACAGCACTTGAGAAGGTTTCACGACGCGGCGAACGCATTCTACTCGATGTAGCTTCCAACGTTGCTGCGCACGGCGGCAGCGGTGTTGTATCCTGATGATGTGCCTTGCATGCTGGATCGATTGAGGTATGCGCATTTCGTCTTCCAAGGGATGCCTGAAGGATCGGTGTTTCGAATGAGGGACGGATGTATGCCTGGGGACCCCGTCATGGTGTATTTTTCTGTTGTCGCATACGCTCATGGTATCCAGAGGCATCTCGAGGCGACGGCTCTAAGCTTTGCGAGTGCGACGTCTCCATTGACGATGCAGAATGAGCAGGTGTGCATGACACTTTTTGTCGACGACTTGGCTGACGCCTTCGAAATTCGCTCTTATTCTGAAATACTGGTGAGAAACCGTGCTCAGAATGGTCGGGTGGATGGAGCTATCGGGGAGATGGGGCTTAAGCAAAACGTAAGCAAACAAGAAGCACTACCGATCTGCTGTGGGAAGGGAGGGTATCGCAACGAACAGATGCTTTTGAATCGTGCTGGTCTCGAAGACCGCACGATGGTGGTTGCCAAGTATCTTGGAATTCGGGTTTCCGCAAGGTTTGCTGTGGGTCCCGGGATTCAGTTTCGGATCGTGGCAGGGAAAAACAGCCTGAAAGAAATGAGAAACTTCTGGACCTCCAAGACCCCCCTCAAGTGGCGAAGAAACCTGTACAAAGGATATGTTCTCAACGCTGTTTTATCGGGGACCGAAGTTTTGACCCACAGCCAAAGACCTCTTCGAGAAAACGATGTAGCTAGCCTTGAACGTTGTTGTGCTCGACATGCGCGTGTTGTGCTCTGTGGTGTTGCAAAGACCGACGCCGACGGCCAGACCAGAAGCCTGTCCAATTTAGAAGTACTCGCTAAGTTCAAGATCTCGCCAATTGTTTTGGAGATGCGAGTACGGCGTTTAAAATGGCTCCAAGACCTCCTTCGGTATCCAGAAACGTCTGCACAAATGTTAGCTGTTATATTTGGTGAGTTCCGTGTAGGAGATAAGGTTCAGGAAGATTCCGAAAAGACTTCGGAGGCCAAACTCAACCCGTGGAGCAAGCAGTGGTTTCAAGATATTCGAGCGCTCGAAGTATTTGACGATGGCCTGTGTCTGCTCGAGAAATTTAATCACTCGCCCATGCAGATCTTGAAGGAGGGGAGGGAGGATGTCATAAAGCTGGACGTCTATGGATTGATCCCTTATTATTGGACACAGCAGGCGGAGTACAAGGGAGCGAGAAGGAGGGAGCACGTACACACGGGGGAGGGAGAATACCAATGCTGGGCAACGCTCGAAGATGGCACCAGGTGCAAGGCAGCGTTCCCTTCAAAAGTGCAGCTGGCATCTCACTTTGTACACACGACGGGAGGAGATCACGGCGCACGTGTGCTCGGGCGGGTATGCTGCGTCTCGAACCAGTGTGTGATGTGCGGCAGCGTTTTCAGCACCTTCTCGCAAGCTCAAAAGCGGATGCAGAACGCTCTAGAGAAGCAATGTTGTAAAGCAGATCGTGGACGCAGCGGGACGGAAGTTCGGTTGCACGTGCAAGAATGCAGGCTCTGTAGTTTGGGCTCGGACGACCCCGTTGCCCTTCGCCAACACCTACTCACACATCTTAAACCGTATCATGAGGATCACGTCATGAAATTTGAAGTAGCTGATGTCCTGGATGATCTCGGGAGATACTGCGAAGCTGCCAACATCGGGAAAAAAAAACTCAGGAGGCCCCAGCGATGGCCAGGGACAAACTTCTGATCCAGTTGGAGTCGCGGGTCCGCAGCCTCGAGTACGGTCAAGGCTCCCAAGTGTTCCTCCCAAAGTCCCACGCGCTGGCCTCCCAGGGGGCCGAGATTTACCAGAAGTATCTGACCGTAGAGAAGAAGGATGGGAAGGACCACAAGAGAGGGCCTCCAGAGTCGCAGATATTGTCATGACTTCTAGCAGGTTTCGATCCTTGGCTCAGCGACACCAGCTCCCCGCCCGAGGTCAAGAAATTCTCAGGAGTTGGAGCACGCCTCCAGATGATGCTGCAGAAAGGAAACGAGATCGACGGGTCCGAATGGATAAAAGACTTCTCGTTCTACCCAACCTTCGACTCGAGCGTAGTTCGCCCCACCGTCAACTTGAAGGGCCAGGTGCTTGTGGCTCGCAACCTGAAGCAGGCCCAGAAGTTGGCCCAGGAGCAGGCCACCGCGTGGGAGAAGGTGACGGAGGGGGCGGAGGAGTACGAGGAGTATATTCAGAGGACCCCGTTAGAAGTTTCAAGCAAGAACGGGGAGTATAAGGTGATGGAGTTGCAGTACTTACTAGGTGTGATTCTGAGGGCGCGGGGTGCATCCAAGAAATTAGGTAGGGCCCCGCGTGGCGGCCTCGCGAAGGGGCTCGGGACTAAATAGCCCTAGCCGTTTCGGGTCCTGTTCCGCACCGGTGTCTGGCATTCTTTTTTGCCAACTTTCGTGTCTCTGATTTTCAGCGTGATATGAATAATGTGCGGCATGAGGCATGACGTCTCAGGCTGCTGGAAACCTGGTCGGGTGCACCTGCTTGCTGGCTACGGCACCCTCGCCGAGAGAGAGTGTCGTGGCCTCGCCAGTCGTTGTCTCCGACCGTGCGGGCTGGGCGCTCCGACCGTGCCTGTTCCGAGCAGGCGGCTCGGCACGCACGGCGGTGCCCGATGATTTCAAGCATCACAGATGGCCTTCAGAAGGCGTGCCCCGAGTCAGCCCTGGCTGCGTTGATCATCAGGACTTGAAGGGGAAGCGAAGCGAAGCGAAGGAGGGGGAGGAGGAGGAGGAGGAGGAGGAGGAGGAGGAGGAGGAGGAGGAGGGAGGAGGAGGAGGAGGAGGAGGGGAGGGGGAGGAGGAGGAGGAGAGGAGGAGGGGGAGGGGAGAGAGGGAGGGAGGGAGGCCATGCGTGTGCGGCGTCGGCGACCGCCCCCCGTCCGCTCCTGGGCACGCGAGGCCCCTCCGTCAGCGGGTGCGCGCGCGCCGCGCGAGCCAAAGGCCTGCCGCCCGCAGACCCGGCAGAGAGCACCAGGCGGGCCCACCCTGCCGGCCGTGCCACGGGCAAGCGGAGCGCCGTCCTCCTCGTCCCCCTCCTCCGCCTCCCCTCCTCTCCTCCTCCTCATCGTCCTCCTCCTCCTCCCTCCTTCTCCTCCTCCTCCTTCTCCTCCTCCTCCTCCTTCCCTCCTCCTCCTCCTCCTCCCTCCTCCCTCCTCCTCCCTCCTTCCTCCCCTTCCTCCTCGTCCACCATGCCTACAGTCGGACCTGATTGGAGAGGACACGCGGGAGGACACAAGACCCTTCCGAGGGCCACATCGCCCTAAGGAGTGTAAGAAGGCACGTGTCGCGAGGCACAGGACACAGGGGTACCCTTGAGCTGGCAAGGTCGACCTACTAATATGGGCCGACCGTATCCCCAGCTTCCCCGTCCCATCCTTCTGGTCCTTCCCTTCCCCCACCCCTCACACTCTCGCTCCCGTCGCGCCTTCCCTCGCTCCCTCTCAACCGCCGCCCTCTCCCTGCTGTCCACCCGTTCCCTTCCCTTCCTCCCACAATACTCTTCCCCTCCTCTCCCACAAGCTACTCCTCATACGTACTGTCCGACTTTATCACTTTCGCTACCAAACTCTCGTGGTCACTGTCGAAAACCCCCATCAATCACAATCCCCTACAGCGCCACAACCGTCAGGGCAGCAGGTGTGCAATTCGAATCAACTAGTGCGCGTGTGGCGCAATGGCCGAACACTCAATCCAGACTTACGGAATGCAATCGCGCGCGTCCTGATTGAAACGAGTTCTGCAACCAGGGGATTTCGCCAAGACCACATTTTCATCTTGAGTCGTTCTTTGACGGCCGCAGGACCAAGCAAGGGCTCCCCGAGAGAGAACAATGCGGAGAATATCAGGACCCATTCTGCTCAGGACCCCGCCCTCTTCATGGTAAACTGTCACGCTCAACCCAGCCTTCCCCCTGCCCCCCCCCGTATCTGTGGACTTGTCTTCTGGCAAGAGGTTCCACATGCCCTTCTTGCCGTCGTGGTGCCCCGCGCAGGTCTGGGTGATCGTACTATAGTTCGACCTCGCGCAGTGGGCCAACGAGGGGCAGATGGAAAAGGATCTCAAACCAGCTGCCACGCGCGTCACAGATGTTGCGGACCAAGCTTGCATGCTGTCAGTGTGTTTGCTGTCTCGTTTGCCTAAACATGTACATGTATGGCTGTATGCTTCCCCCCTCGGCATGGTGGCGTGCAAGTTTGCCTCTTGCACGGCTGGATCACTGCTTGCATAACCAGAACAAGCTATGCTCGCGCCTCCATCAATGGGGCTCTGTCAAAATGTCTGCGCACAGCTCGGTTATTCACTGAGTCAAAGAGCGCGCCGACCGAGCTCTAAGAGGCTTGTCCACGGTACTGATGTTGACAATCTGGCCCGATCCAGCTCTACACCTACATGATTACTTGATTGCGCGCCTCCGTGCTTCCATACTTGCATGCGTAAGCATGTATGCTTTCAAGCTCTCACTTGCGCGCAACTCCCTTAAAATCGTATCCACGGAGCTGCCCTGGAGTGCGACCTGACCAAAGTCTCCAGGCGGGTCCAGCCGTGGCGACAAGGAGCGCCCCTGGAGACCAAACCATCAAAAAACGAGCACACCACAAAGTCCGAAGATCAAAACTCGCGCCCGTGCCATCCTTGTCAGCCATCTGTCACTCACTTTGATGTGTTGCCGATACGTGGGCCCCAAGACTTTTCGAACCCTTCCCCACAACAGGAATGTCATCCTGATCCGCTTTCCTGACAGAACCGACACCCGAGACCAGCCTCTGGGAGGCGCCCCATTTTTGTCCAAGGCTTTGCGGCGCGAACAGGGGGGTAGGGGGAGGGGGGAAGATTCTTAGAAACACCCCTGCTTCTTAGAAAACACGGGCCTCACATCCGCAGGTGAGGCCCGCGCTTTCCGAGAAGCGGGGGTGCTTGTAAGAAACCTTCCCCCCTCCCGCTATCCCCCTCTGCGCGCGGCCGAAAGGCGCCGGATGTGTGGGTTCCCCTCCTCCATGGTTATGTGGCCCCCATCGTACTTAAGGACCACATCCCAGAAATCCGCCGGCCCCCTTGTGGGGCCACCAGGCTGTAGGACCAAGGCTTGCTGTTCCCTGCGCCAGTTCCAGTTTCCAGTTTCCACTGTTACAGTTCTGTGTCTTGCTGTTTACTGTTCCTTGTTGATGGACCGCGCGAGGAAGGGAGCCGAACAGTGCCCTGGTTACGTCTCCTGAGAGGGATCTCCGAATTTCTGGAGGGGTCGAAATTGGGCTTGGGACGCGTATATATACATATATATATATATATACATATATCTTTATATATAGAGAGATCTGTATGTTTGTATATATATACATATATATATATATGGAATTCGCGCCCCCGAGACCATACATCCTTTTAGATTACACCATATTCTCGTCCCCAAAGCCATAAAACCTCGCGAATTACACAACACTCGCGTCCCCGAGGCCATGAACACTCGTGAATTATACAATACTCGCGTCCCCGAAGCCATCAACCCTCCCAAAATACACCGTATTCGTGTCGCCGAAGCAATGTACCCTCGTAAATTACACAATGCTTGCGTCCCCGAAGCCACAAACGCTTGTAAATCACGCGAGGTTCGCGTCCCTGGAGCCATAAGCCCTAGTCAAGCACACAATGTTCGCGTCCCTGGAGCCACAAACCCTCGTAAGGTATGCAACAGTTTCGTTCCCGATGCAATAAGCCACTGGCAATCTCTTAATATTCGCGCCCCCGAAGCATAAGACCTCGCAAATTACTCTATATTCGAGTATCCGAAACCATGAGCCCTTGTGAATTACACAATATTCGCGTTTCCGAAGCCATACACCTGGTAAAGTGTATTATATTTGCGACCCCGAAGCCATAAACCCTTGAATGTTACGCTATATTTGCGTGTCCGAAGCCATCAACCATCGTAACTTACGCAATGTTCGCGTCTCCGATTCGCGTATCACCATCGTTCAAAATGCAACACTGAGTTCAACAATCGCATCATCATATCAATTTATCCTGCCCATGCTGCTTCACGGCGGCACCGAGGCCTCATGATCTAGCTCTTGCATAGCCCATTCTCCGAGAGAGGGGGCCGGCGGCAGGGTGCGAACTCCCACGGCCCGGCACGAGAACACCCTCGAGTCTGGGTACTTGTTTTCTGGTGCTCGGGACTCTCTCTGGCGGCCAAGGCTAAAGCAGCCTGGAACATCATAGCTCCATTAGGGAGCCCACAAAGGACGTACGCGCCCAGCTATGTACATGAACACGGCCCCTTGACCCGCGAGACCGGCCGCGTGATACGAGTATTCGCGCAATGCGAAATCTCGAAAACAGCGTGGATTGATGTACGTCTTTCGCTCCTGATCCATGGCACCCACGGCGTCAGCACAACAGCAAGCCCACCGAGCCGGCAGCGGAGCCGAGACCGGCCCGCCGCGGGCAGCCTCTCAAGAAGGAGAGCTGAAAAGGACGCAGCAGAGGCACGGCGCGCGCGGCGGCGTCTTGGCGCCAGCGGCACAGACGACGGCGGAGCACCTGCGCGCGGGCACCAACTCTGGGGGGGCCACGTGCGGACAGGTACCATGAAACCTGGGGAGATCGCATGGCCCCCGCCATGATATCCCCCCCGAAGCATCACCCCCCCCTCCCGCCATCCCCGAAGCGGCACAACGACAGCCGGCCGATCCGAGTCGACCGAGCGCACCCGACCGCGACGCAGCCCGCTCGAGCGAGCCGCTGACACCTCTGACGGGGCCGAGGCTTATGTTACCCCCATCGAACTTAGGGATCACATCCCAGAAATAATTTCGAGCACTCAAAAAAGTATCGAAACAGTGTCGAACGAGTCTCGCCTCCCAGGGCCCGACGCGTGAAAACCCTTCAATGTCGGCGCTTTCTTGGTGCTCGGAATTCCTTCTGTTGACTGAGGCCCAGGGAAGTTGGAACATCATGAGCCGAGGCTCGAGGCTCGAGGGTCCAAACCTTCGCACGCTCATGGGGGGCCTCCGTGTCGGCATCCACTCGTGTCGTCTTGCTGTTCGGCTGGGGCGCAAGAGTCAGAGCAACCACAGGTCTATGAAGGGGCCCCAGGACACACAAATAAATACACACAAATAAAAAGGTTCCCCATATTTTCCCATATTTTCTGGGTTTTGTCTTCCCCCCCACTTCCCATATTTTCCCATATTTTCTGGGGGATCGCCGATTAATTGTGTCTGTGTGTTTCTTTCCCTCCTGAGTCTATTCGCTTCGGCAGAAAACATCGTTCTGCAGCCACGGGGGCGCCGAGATCGGTGCACTGGAGTCAGTCCGACCCGGGCAGCTGACCACCGGTCGAAAGAGATGGGTAGAAACAGGAATTAGGCGGGAAGCGAACGCAGATTGGGCTTCCGCCCATCTCGTGAAGGGAACCTGTGACACCAATCGATCCTCGAACTGTAGGAAGGCGCCCACACCAGATCGGGATCTCGGAATCCAGAGAGACTTCTGCTTTCAGCGACCGGTGGGTCTCCGCGAGACCAGCTCCGCAGGGCTCCCTCCACGGTCTCTCGGAGACCGCCGGCACCGCAGCAGCTGGAGGCCTGCCTCCGCGGCTCGAGCCGGGGCGCGGACGTCCCGATCTCGATGAAGTCGAGGTGGCCGTCCCTCTGGGCATACCTCGGGAGGGGCGGGCGGGCAGGGGAGGGGGGCGAACACAGCGAGCGGGGCGAGACGAGGGGAGGGGAGGAGGGGAGGGGGGGGCGGGGGGAGAGGGGAGGAGGGGGAGGGGGAGGAGGGCAGGCTGGGTGCGCTCGCGTCATGCCTGGCGTCCCCTCCCTCCCTCCCATCCCTTGCCATGGCGTAGGTCTCCTCTCTATTCGCACAATCCGGTGTCGTAGCATGGCATAGTATGACACGGCATAACATGTCGTTGAAGATTACGCGGCGCATGACATAGCATGGCGTGGCGACGCTCCAAGGCGGGGGGGGGGGGTCTGCGGCTCCAGAAACCAACGAATCCACACCGAATGTGGAATCACTTCCGATGGTTTTTTCGGGAGGCCATTTTCTAAATTTGGGGCACATTTGGAAGGACCGGAAACCATGCCGTGGCATGGCCACGAAAGTAACGACGCTACTGCAGCTGGAGCACGTTTCGGAACGAGCGGAAGCGCGGAAATGAGGCCAGCGCTGCGCGCTGCAGCGGAAGCACGGCTCGGAATGAGCGGTAGCCCGAACATGAAGCCAGCGCTTCCGCGAGAGCAGCACTTCGAAGAGACGGCAACCCGCTTCCGGTGATCCTGCGTAAAAAACCGGTGCGCGGCGAGGGCCGGCCACTTCCCGGACGCCATCAGGGGAGAGAGGATAGTATTCACATTGATTTCTTGTGGAGGAGGGAGAGGAGCTTCCCCATACAGCACCCAACGAACATATTCACTCTAGAGTCACAGCAACTCGAGAAGACAGTTCGAGCGGCAGACCCCCAAACAGGCGAGGTGCTCGCATTGTGTCGTCGATCATTTTCCAATCTGGATTGCTCTCGGATGGGTGCCCCTGCAATGCCAGGAATAGATAAGCATTGTACGAGAGCGCCCTAAAGGCGCCTAGATTTATATTCAAATCGCGAACCTCCTCAGGACGAACCACAGACTTCCTTGCAGCACAAGTTGCCCTTTGTGAAGCAATGCGCCTCGCATGTCTGTCACGCATGCAATTCACACCTATCGATTCTGGCCCCAGGTTGGGCAATCCGCCGACCAGGCGTGTGAGTAAAAAAGGAAGTTGTATGCCCACGGTCGCATGCCTCCTGCACTGGTCTGGCCCATCTCCATGTAGGCCCATAGCGCTTGCAACACGTTCGACGAATTTCCCTGGGCTCCCTGCACTGGCCAAGCCCCCTGTAAACCCATAGCGTTGCACTGCTCTCCGCACGACACGACACAAGATATGCATTGAGGGTTGCGGGGGTAACTGGCGGGGTGGGGGTTTTCCTCGGGAGGTCCCCGCGGGGTTAACCGGGGCTCCCTGCACTGGCCCACCCCCTGTAACCTCATGGCCCCTGCACTGCTCCGCACCACACGACACCAAACATGAATTTCGGGTTGCAGAAATAGCTGGGGAGGAGGTCCCGGGAGGTTCCCCTGGGATTTACCTGGGGCTACAAGCGCTGGCCCACTCCCCCTGTGACCCCATGGCCCCAACACTGCTCCGCACCACACGACACAAAACATGAATTGTTGCAGAAATAGCTGGGGAGAGGGTCCTGGGGAGGTTCCCTGCTGGCCCACTCCCCCTGCACACAGAACCCAGAGACACACACACACACACACACATATATAAACAGGCACAAATCCCAGGATGCGCCATATGTTCCATATTTCATGGATGTTCGTCCTCCCCTCCACTTCCTATATTCTCCATCTTTTCATGGGAATCGACTGTTATTTGTGTCGGTGTGTTTTTCTCCTCCTGGATGTTTCGGGCTCCGACGGAGTGGCGCCAACGAAGGACGCCGCCCCATTGTTTGATCGATGACGTCCCGGGTCGGCCCCAGGACGGCCCTGAGGCCCTCAAGGATGGCCCCCAGAGAGCCCCAGGAGGGCCCCACGGAGAAAGCACCAAAGCCCTCCAGCATTGCCCCGCAAGAGCCCCAAGATGGTCCACAAGAGCTTCCAAGAATTGGCGGCGCGCACAAGGGGGGCATGGGCAACGGGGGAGGGCTTCTCGGAAGAAGGCTGCTACTTAGAAGGCGCCGGCCCTACATCTACAGACAAGGCCCGCGCGCCTTCTAAGAAGCAGGGGTGCTTTACGAAGCCGCCCCCCTTCCCCCTGCCCCCCCTCTGCGCGTGGCCGAAAGATGGTCCACATAGGCTGCCAGGAGGCTCCCGCGTCGAGAGTTCCACGAGGGCGTTGCGGCTGACTCCTAGGCCTGCTCAGGCCGATCCCAAGCTTCGGACCCATTTTTGCAGACAAGGCCCGCGCCTTCTCAGAAAGCGCCTCCTTCTAAGACGCCTCTGCCCCCCTTTGCGCGCCGCCGACATCGTTTCTGGATGGGCTGGTGGGGACACGCGAGGCGCCCAGAACTGTTTGGTTGTCCTGGGCTCATGGATGGCCCCAGGAACCCCCACAGCGGGGGCAAAGCCTCCTGACCCCTCTCCTCCAGGACCTGTTTGCTTCATTCTGGCCCGTCCCCCCGATCTGCGCATGCCCACGGCACCAGCGCTCGATGTTCCACTTGTACCACTCCTCAAACCCCTGCTTCGTGAACCAGGCCCGCCAGCAGCCCTCGCAGTGCCAGTCGCCGTCGCCCATCTGCGGATGCGGGGGGGAAGCAGGGAGTATAGCACAACAAGCGGCATAAACGTGTGGAGGCCCACCCGGATGTCTTGGATCGGCGCTGGACCCCCTCCCTGGCACGCGGAGCGCGCCTTTGGGCGGCGCGGGAAGCGCCGGCAGGGGCCCCCAAGCGCCGATCCAAGAAAGCCGCGCGCGGAGTTCCGAAAGTTTATGTTCATGAAGTTTCGTGTCACGTCACTCTCCGAGGGGAAGCAGGGAGGCCGACACCAGCAGGAGGCCAATCTCTGCATGAAACGACCACGTCCGCAACGACACTCACAGCGAGTCCTGTTCAGAAGGAAGAGGAATGGCGGCCCCCCTGGGCCCGCCTCCAGGGTGATGGCGCTCCCGCTGGACAGGGCGAGAGTGCGGGGCAACTTTCAGCCGAACTCCAAGACAAACGCCCAGATTCGAAAACCGTTTTTTACGTCCCGGCGGGGAGGGAAGAAGAGGAGGAGCGCGAAGAGGAGGGGGAGAAGGGGGAGGGGGAGAGGAGGAGCAGGAGGAGGGGGAGGGGGAGGAGGAGGGGAAGGAGGAGGAGGGGGGGGGAGGAGGAGGAGGGGGGGAGGGAGAGGAAGAGGAGGAGGAGGAGGAGGAGGAGGGAGGAGGAGGAGGAGGAGGAGAGCCAAATTCGAAAACACAGAATCCGCGGAAAGCTCGATGATTATTACTGGCCTGGACTTGCGACATGGCCCTGGCTGACCTGGGTATCAGCGCCGACCCTGCGCAGCATGTGCACCCGAAAGGAAAGGAGCAGCTCTCTCCGTGAGGGGGTTTATCTAGGGGGGACCAGCTCCGAGGGGGGAGCGTCGACCTGGAATCGGCGACGCGTCGCCGATAGGTCGGCGATAAGCCCCCGGCAGCGAATCCAAACGTTCCTGGGCAAGCTGGGGCTGTCGGGCCCTATCGGCGATCAATGAGCGATTGGGATCGGTGCGTCCCCCCTTGAGCCTCAGGGCCAGCCAGGAGGGGGGTGTCCACGAGGGGGGGGGGGGCACAAATCATGGCCGGCGGCACGTGCGCGGCCCAGGGGCGCATTGAAATAAGAAAGGGCGCCATGAAACCTGGGGAGAGATCATGCCTCCCGCCATGAGATCCACACACCCCTAGTCCTCAATCCCATCTTGGCCGTCCCCCTCTTGGCCGCCCCCCTCTTGTTCTTAGAACAGGAAGCCGATGTGCCAAAACAAGGCAGCCCCGACCAGAAACGCACTAAGAGCATTCCGCGCAGATCACGCAAATGTCTTGGAACATGTTTTGGTGGGCCTCATAGTCGATCCAGGACGCCTCGCCACTGCTTGAAGGAAGCACGGAACGTGACGATGGGGAGCGGAGGGTGGGGCGCCGAATGGAGCTCCCCCCCCACGTGCGGCCCCGCATGTTTCGGGAGGATGAGAGGGGGAGGGGGGAGGAGGAGGAGGAGGAGGAGGAGGAGGAGGAGGAGGAGAGGAGGAGGAGGAGGAGGAGGAGGAGGAGGAGGAGCAGGAGGAGGAGGAGGAGGAGGAGCAGAGGAGGATGAGGAGGAGGAGGAAGAGGAGGAGGAGGAGGAGAGGAGGGAGGAGGAGGAGGAGGAGGAGGAGGAGGAGGAGGAGGAGGAGGAGGAGGAGGAGGAGGAGGAGGAGGAGGAGGGGAGGAGGAGGAGGAGAGGAGGAGGAGGAGGAGGAGGAGGAGGAGGAGGAGGAGGAGGAGGAGGAGGAGGAGGAGGAGGAGGAGGAGGAGGAGGAGGAGGAGGAGTAGCGCGCGGTGGAGGGCGCGATCCCTCCGTCGCCCGCGCACCGCGGGCGCCCGACCGCGGGGGGCCCCCAGGCTGGGAAGCCCCCCGACGGTGATGAGGCCGACCTCGAGCTCGTGGCCGAACTCGACGGTCAGGTCGGCTCCGCAGTGCCGCCCCGGCAGGCCCCCGTCTCAATCCGAGGGGCGCTCTCGGGGGGCGGACCTGCTGGGGCGGCGGCGCCCGCCTGGCGCTCGGCCCCGCTCGCGCCCGTCTCGTTCCCAGGGGCGCTCTGGGGGGGCATGCGAGCGAGGCCAGTGCGCGCTCCAGCCTCGGCGTCCGCTTCCCAGCGGGCCCCAGCCTCGCCCCGAGGGGCGCTCTCGGGGGGCGGACCCGCTGGGGCTGCCCAGCTCACCAGGCGTTCGGCCCCGCTAGCGCCCGGATCACTCCCAGGGGCGCTCTGGGGGGGCCTGCTAGCGGGGCCTGCGCGCACGCCAGCTGCGGCCGTGCCGACGCCACCATCGCCAGGCACTCCAGGTCCACCAGCCCCTGGCGCACCCGTCTCTGGCCCCAGTCGAGCGATCCTCACTGGCACTCTCGCGGAAACTGCTGGGGCCATACCTTTCGCCAGCCTTGCAAGCGCGAGCTTGCCCTTCGGGCCTGCATGCCCGCACTCCTTGTTGAAAGTCGAAGGCCTGCACGTTGCCACCGTGCCACAAGCCGCACACATGATGAATGGCGTATCCTTCGTGAGGTCCACCTATCTCTCCGTCCACAGCTTCACCAGCACATGCTTCTTCAGGAGCTGGTCGCTGATCTCGAAGCCGGGGGTGGTGATGTCACCTGGGCACTCCGACTGCCTGCGAGGCCACCTGCACTTCGCACACCACTGGTGTCCAGGAGGCCCCCGAAGATCACACTCCAAGCGCGCTGCAACCAATCTCTTCTAAGCCCTGGGCGCTGGACGGTTCGGCTTGGCCATCCTGCGCGTGGTGTTCCTCGCCGCCCATGCTGGAGCCTACCGCGGCCACCCACATCGCGACGCCCTCGAAACGCTCGTGAACCTGCTTGAGCAAGTTCCTGTCCTCAACCTTGATGCGCGCCGAGGCCGCTGCGCTTTTGGCCGCCCTGTCCGCGTACTTGTTGCCGAGCCAGTCGCGGTTGGCGAGGCCACTGCTGCGCATGTACTTCCTGGGAACGCGGGCTGCTATCTTGACGACTGTGAGCCCCTACTCGCCGAGGCCCCCGAACTCATCTTACAAGCGCCAGACCTGCTGCCACAGGTCTGCCCAGGCGAACCCGAAGCTCGTCGTCCGCTGCTGCCCGTACTCCAAGAGTCCCTTGACCACGAAGGCGCTGTCGGTGACGGCCTTCGCGGGCGGCATCGTGTACTTGAGCAGGCGCAGCAGGGCCGTCAGCTCACCTCCGTTGATGTCGACGAAAGGCGCGTCCAAGACCCCAGAGATCCCAACGTCGAGCTCGTGGGAAGTCTCCTTCAGCGCAATGACAGCCCCAGCCGACCGAGGTGCACCTCTCGCACTCCCCTTCGCAGGCGGAGCCGTCCAAGCACAGCGTGCCCGCAGGAAGCCAACCCTGCGCATTATCACCAAGCCAGCAAACTTGATCATCTCGAGCGGGCTTCACATTGTGCTGCGGGCACGGCGCCAAGCACCGCTCAAGAAGTACTCGGGTGGGGCCATCCGCCGCCTGCACATGTAGCTCCGCGATCTGTTTCGGTAACTTCAGCTCAGGAGGCCAGCCTTCGCATTCACAATGCAGATGAAGTGGTGACCCGAACTGACCGCACTTGAGACACATAGGGTCCGCCGCGTACCCGCACTCGTACTTCCTGCTCTGAGACCACTGTCCACCCTGAATCAAGGACTCAAGATAGCCGCGCCCCCACGGCGTGAGGCGAATAGCTTTCGTAGCCTTGACACTCGACACTACACCAGCTCGGCTGTCACTGACCTCGATCGCACGTTCAGCTTGACCGCCAGCTGGTGGCTCTTCTTCTGACAGCTAGGGGTGCTGCACCATCAAAACCAGAGCCAAGACACACCTCACCGAATAAACCGCTGAACAGCTCAGGCCATCCAGGATCCCGCCTGGCTTCAACAAGAGCTGACGCAGTGAGTGCAGTACCCATATGATAGCCTGGTGGTTGCCCAGCTATCGGAGGGGCCATGACTCCATCGGCGAGGCGCACGGGCTGCTGAACATCTCGCTCAGGTCGACCTTCACCAACCAGCGTGACCACCTGCTCCGCCTCGCTCTGGCCAATGCTAGAGGTGTCCACCACGTGGTACGGCTTCGCATTGGCCACGGAGGTCGTCGGCACTCCCTGCTTGCCGAACAAGCCCTGCAGCTTCACCGTCCCTTTGCTGGTGAGGCGTACCAGAGGTTCCTGCACACCACCGCCAGCCAAGCGCCCATGTTCGGCATGTCTCCACTGCCATGCTTCGATCGCTCGCGCCAGAAGCCGCCCGACCGTTCAGGGAGCCACCTCGAAGACCTTGACCTTGCCACCTTCGTGGGCCTGCCAGACGCCAGCCTCGATCACCTTCCAGCCCGCCCGCGCCAAGGTCATCTTGGCCGCCGAGAAGGGCCCCTTGACTTGGCTCCAGTGCTCCGCCTGGCAGCGGTTGAGGCAGTGCTCCACAACATGCCGAGGAACCCACCGCTCCCAGGTCGCCCGTAGTAGAGTAAGCACTGGTCCTTCTGTAGCTCTTACCATTGGGCCCAATCCTTTCGTCAGCATCAAAGTGAGGGTCCTGGAGCGGCCAGCTGTCGAAGGTGCCGCCGCCGTGAAGACCAGGCTCCTGATCTTGCTGAGCTCTTCCGTCGCGCAGCCCGTCACGTTCGGCCCGTAGCTGACCGACACTTCCAAACCACTGCGCGCAACCTTCCGCACAGCCCTCCTGCGCCCCTTTCCGCTTTTAAGCAGCCAAGCCCGTTTAAGCCGAAGACCCGCAGCAACCAACTTCTCCCTCCCCACTGCTCGAGGCACGCGCCGTCCACACGCAAAGTCAATGCCCAGGTTCCTCTCCTTGGCAACTGACTTAACTCCAAGAGACCTGCTCAGCCTGGCCGCCACCTCATGACGTGCCGTAGGCAGATTGCTGAGCACCCTGGACTTCGAGACCGCTATCTTCACGTCCACTGCCTCAGGGAGTGTCTGGAGCCTGAAATCCGCACCCGCCACTTCTCTAGTGATTCTGATCATACCGCCCACGAGGTGCACCATGATGTCGTCGACCTCGACCGCAAGCTGGAGCGTTGGGTGGCAGGTCATCAGCAGGTCCAACGGCTGAATGAGCAGCAGCTTGGGCATCGCGGTGGCGAAACCATCTCCAGGGAGCACGGACTGTTCGGAGAGTATCATACCTGACACCGCCCTGCCCAAGCTGAGCACCCTCGGTGCACGAAATAATCCCAATGACAATTTAAGCTGCCACAGTGGGCACCCTGTGTCAATCGCAGCCTCAAGTAACCAGTGATGCCTGATCTGCTCGTACGCCTTCAGAAGGTCGAGGAGGATGGCCAGCACACACCACCCCGAGGAGTCGCCACGCTCCTCGCCCTTCGCTGTGACCCACTCTGCGAATGCCGTTTGATGCCACACGGCCCGATCACACGCCCTGCCTTTGGCTGCCCACCAATACGGCCTGTCGTTCCGAGCTTCCCACCGTCGAGCCACACTTCTGCGTGATCTAGCCTGGATCCTCGCAATCGCCATGATGATCGCTATCGGGCGTGCCCCGCCAAGTCTCTTCTGGATGAAGCATATATTTGTCGTCAAGCTGGGCAAAGTTGCCTCCTTCTCGATAGCCGAAATAATCTCTGTCAAGAGTTCAAGGCCTGCGTGGCCCAGCTCCAGGAACTGCCGCGGGCTGATCGCGTCGATGGGCGTGCCCGTCAGCACAGGAAAAGTCATGGGCGTCTCCCGCAGCTCCTCGGCGGACGGCTTGGGCGGCCGCTCCCCGAGGTCTTGAGGCTAGCGCACGGGGACTCGATGAAGATTGCACCGCCACCAGCGCCGCCACTCCTTCTCCAGCTCGCTGATCTCGCCCGCCAAGTCGGTAGGCACGTACAGCTCCTGCTGCTTCGCGGGGCTGGGGTCGAACCCGTTGGGAACCTTCGTGATGGCATGGAGGCCGCCACCTCCACCAAGCGACTGCTCCTCGATCCAGGCCTCGAACTTGGTGCCGCGCTCGGCCATGTCGTGATCCGCCAGGTCGGAGGCCGCCTGCTTGGCGCCAGCGCTCAGCTTCCTCAGCACGTCCGTGCGCACATGACTGATGCGCAAGCTGCTGAGCGCATGCCACCACAGGCTGGCCACTGGAGCGGCTTCTGGGCACTGGTCAGCCTGCCCAGCTCCCACGTGCCTCTCCTGGACGAGCTTGGGCGCCTTGCCACCAGCCTGCTCATGCCTCGAAGAGCCTGAAGTCGTGCGAGGGGCTGCCCCACCTCTGCGGCCGACTGCAACTCGTTCGCCGCGCGGAAGAGCCAGGCCGCCTCGGCCGAGACTCGCGGCCATCTCGCACAGGACACTGGCAGGTCACGTACACGTCGTACTTGGAGCTCCTGCCCTCTGCCGCAATACTTCGACGTGGTGCCCGAGATCTGGTAGACATCTATCCACGCACGCTCGGCCTGCTCAAGGGAGGCTTGCCGCGCCTTCGTCAGGTTCCCATGCTGAACCAGCAACTTCTTCACTACCGTGGCCGTCTGCGTCCAGCCAGGTCCATGATCATCTCGTAGGCATCCTTGAGGTCGCTGCCGTGGGAACGCCTTGGGCATCATAGCCACCTTGATGAAGTCCCTCCTCTTCGCCGCCTTGAGCGAGAGCATCACAGGCCGATGCGGCCAGGCAGCGGAGCCTTCCAGCACCTCGATGTCGCTCACCTCGAGGTCTGCCGAGATGATGACGTAGTCAGAGGCCCTGTTGGACTGGGCGCACGTCGGCACGACGGTACTAACCACCTTGCCATTGAAGAAGCGCAGGACCCCGCTCGCCTCGAGCTCCTCCCTGGTGCAATTGAAATCTCCACCAATCAGGAAAGGTCTGCCATACTCACGAATTCGGCGAGCCACGTCCTTGAGGATCGCGTAGTTGTGCGGGTTGATGCCGACCCCGCTCTCTAAATATATGTTGACCACGACCACGCCCTCGGGCAGCAACCCTGCTTGGTGTAGTGCCAGCGCTCGCCCCTCGCGGAGCACTGGGGGGGCCGACCCGAGCATTGGAGCCAGCCCGTGAGAAAGACGCGAGCAGGTCAAGAGCCCGCCTGTGGCGAGCCCGCCTGCCTCCGAAGGAATTGCTGGGGCTCCCGCTGCACGCCATCCCCGTCGACGCAGCTCCCCTTCAGCATCCGCCGTCCGTGCAGCCGAAAGCCGCGTCTCCTGGAACATGACGAGGTCACTGCCTGGCACCGACCCGCTCATGCACGTGTCCAGGTTGCTGCACGCATTCATAGTGATGATGCAGACCTTGAAGATCTCGTCGCCACCTTGACCGCTACCCCACCTGAGGCTGCTTACCCAGCCTGGTGGCGAACAGCTCGAGTACCTCACGTTTCTTGGCGTCGGCTTCGCCGTCGCAGAACTCAGCAATAGTAGCGTCCAGCGAAGCATTCGTGAAGCGCATGATGTCATCCTTCTCGACCGAGATGCCACCGTAGGGATCGTACTTGCTGATGCCCTTGCCGCCGCCCTTGCCCTTGGGTCCTGCTGCCACAGGCGCTGGTGGGGGCAAGTCAGCTGCCACAGGCGGCTTGACCACCTTGGGCGGGTTGACCCGGTCGGAGGCGAGAGACTGCAGCAACGTCCTGAGCGGCCCAGCCGCAGGCCCAAGGTCAACGCCATCAAGCTGATCAGCGACCTGCTCAGCCAGCTCCCCGTGCTTGGCCGCCAGCGCAGCCGCCACCACGTCGACCTCTTCGAACGAGTCCGTCTCCATGGCAGTGGCCTGCTTCGCTTTCTGGGCCTCCTCACGCTCCTGGGCCTCCTTGGCCTGGGCCACGGCCTGCTGCAGCTCCTCGTCCAGCTGCTGGATGTACTTGTTCTGCTGCAACACGGCCGCCACCGCCTCAGCTGCAACGAGCTCTCTGCGCTTCCCCTCGTCACGAGCGCGCTGGAGCTTCTTGCCCGCCTCGTCGGCCTGCACCTGCGCGCTCTTGATCGCTTTATTGGGCGAGAGGGCCCCCAGCTGCTGCTGCAGAAGGAACCTGGCCTGCCGCAGCGAGTGCTGGTCCGCTGGCGACAGCATGGCAGGCGCGAAGATGGCGAAGTCCTCCTCGCTGATCTCCAGGTACCTGGCCCTTGCTTCGTCAGTGAGCACGGCGTACTTCGGTGACGCACCACCTTGTACATCTCCTGCTCCAGACTGGCCCTTGCCGTAGCCCTTGGGTCCTTTGGACTGGTTCCAAGGCGCCTGTGTCCAGTCCCAGCTGGCGGCTGGAGCACCATACTGCCAGCTGCCCCGCGGAGCAGGATGAGCACCCAGACCAGGAACGTAACCCGTCGGCCGGTGCGCAACGCAGCCAGGCTGCCTGCATTGCGCCCGCCAGCCCAGGTTCTTGTAGCCGCACCCCGAGCACACCCAGGCCTTGGTCTTCGTGCTGCCAGCGCCTGCACAGCCGCCGCCGCCGTGCCCGCCGCCAGGAGCCATGGCGCGCCGTGCTGCGCAGCCCGACTCTTGTCCGAATCAAGAACTTCCAAAACTGCTGGCCTCAAAGCGCGAACCCCCTCGCGCTCAGAAGCCGCCCCGAAGCCTTGAGACAAAATGGCTACGGAGGAGGGGGAGGAGGAGGAGGAGGAGGAGGAGGAGGAGGAGGAGGAGGAGGAGGAGGAGGAGGAGGAGGAGGAGGAGGGGGAGGAGGAGGGGGAGGAGGAGGAGGGAGGAGGAGGAGGAGGAGGAGAAGGGAGGAGGAGGAGGAGGAGGAGGAGGAGGAGGGGGAGGAGGAGGAGATGGAGTTGGAGGAGGAGGAAGAGGAGGAGGAGGAGGAAACGGCCTCGCCTCTGCGTGACCCTGAGGCGATGCCCCCTCAACGTGGCCCCTGAACGGCCCTGGCTGACCCGGGCAAGCGGCGCCGGCCCGGCCCAGCGCGTCCCCCACCCCCGAGAGGGATCGGGGACGCACTGAGGCTGGGCTCGGCTTCGGTCGGGCACGTCCCCCCGCAGTGACGATGTTCCAGCCAACTTTAGCTTTGATTTAGGAAGCAACCGCTGGGAGGTCTTCGTCGGAAAGAGTAAGGAGGATGAAGCCCCATTGTGGGGCTGTTACGCCAGAGTGGGCTTCGGATAAAGCGGGATTAAGCCGGATTAAGCGGGGTTAAGCGGGATTGGGCAGGATTAAGCGGGATTGAGCCGGACTTCGGACCATGAAAAAATCAGAATTTGACCTACCAGGAATTGCATCCGAACTTGATCACGAGAAAAAAATCCGAGCACCAAGAAAGTACCGAAACTCGAAGGCTTTCCCGTGTAGGGCCCTGGGAGACACGCGTCCGACACTGTTTCGACACACTTTCGACACTGTTTCGACACTGTCCCGGGTGCTTGAAATTAGTTCTGGGACGTGGTCCTTGAGTACGATAGGGGGCAACATGACCTTACAGGCAGATTTTGAAGGACAAGCTAGCAATAATCAGAACTGGTAGAACAAATAGTCGAAACATCGTCCCTGGACTATCTTGCGTAGTTATGTTTGAATATTTCTCCCGTAGAGGGACAGGCCCGGCTCCCCTTGAGAAGGATCGGGGACGCACTCAGGCCAGACTCGGCTGAGGTCGGGCATGTCGCCCCTGCAGGCAATACTCGAACAGAAGATCCCAAAATGGTCCACGAATAATCGACGGACGTCGCACAAGAAAACGGATCCTGGTGTATACGGGATCCTGGTGTATACGGGATCCTCGCACAGGAACTCGCACAGGAACGCGGACAGGAAAGCGCACAGGAACTCGCACAGGACTAGCACAGGAACGCGGCCGTCCCTGCACTCGAACTCGCACAGGAAAGCGGATCCTGGTGTATACGGGCTCCAGGTGTGGTGTGTGCATTGGTCTTTGCTTCCCCGGGAAACCACACCACCCCGACGTCCTGGGATTGAAAAGCAGCCCGCCGCTGGTAGTGTATACGCTGCAGTTTCCGAGTAGAGGTCAAACATTGCACCCCCGCAACAACCACCCCGACACGCGAAATCATTCAGAAAACGCGCCCAAAGAAAGAATCGAACAGGGCAGGGCTGTGAACGCCAAGTGCCAGGGCCGGGTGCTTCAGCTAGGGAACGCCAAGTGAAGCCCAGGGCCGTTTCGTTCGTGAACGCCGGGTGTTTAGAAAACGCCCAGGGCCGATAAACCAGTGAACGCCAAGTGTCGGGTCCGGGTGGTTTTCCATCCCTGGACCCAGACTCCCTCAGGCAATGAAAAAATCACGACGAAGGGTTTGTCCATAATGTCGGCCTCTGGGGACGACTCAGGATGAAAAACCGATCCCGGGTACTGGGTCGAGACCTCTGGGGGTCGACGTCATGACAAAATCATGACGTCGGGGTCCTGGGCCCCACGCCCCACGTGGCTCCCAAATGCAGGCGCACGAAGAGCAGTGGAGATGGACAAAAGTCTGGCCCAGCGAGGCTTGATTCTTCTTCGTATTCACTGCGCCTCGGCCTTGCGGCGCCCCTTCCAAAAAGTCCAAGACGCAGTGGATGTGGATAAAACTCCTGCCCGCACCAAACACGGGTCGGCCAGAGGCGATTGGCTGACCCACGTTTAGCGATGGCCCACCCTGATGGGGAAACCAAAAGGCACCAACACCGCCACTCCCCAGAGGTGTGGGCGTGTGTGTGGGCATTGGAGTGGGTGTGGGTGTGAGCATGGGTGCCGGCGCCGGCGCGGGCGTGGGCTTGAGCGTGGTGCTGGTGTGGGCGTTGGCGTGGGTTGGTTCGGGTGTGGGTGTTTGTATGGGGCGTGAGTGTGGGCTTGGGCGTGGGCGTGGGCGTGGACGCGCGTGTGGGCGGCGGGGAGCGCGAGGGAGGAGGGCGCTGAGCAGGCGGGAAAGGGTGCGTGAGAACGCGATCGTTCTAGTGCGTGGGTCTGTGTGGGTGCGCTCTGACCAGACTTCCGGGGCGAATCCAACGGTGGCGACGAGGGCCTCCGAGGCGGCCCCAACAGGGCGAAAAAACTGGGCGAGGGCGGCGGCATGGGCACCTTCCCTGAGCTCGATCTACGGTCGACCGACGAGCGGGGGTGGAGGGACAACGATAGGGGGGACTAGCATGGGGGGGTGACATCGTCCGCGAAGATCTCGATAATTATCACTGGCCTGGACTCGCGACATGGCCCTGGCTGACCTGGGCATCAGCACCGACCCGGCGCAACACATGCACCCGAAAGGAGAGGAGCGGCTCTCTCCGTGAGGGGGTTTACCTAGGGGGGGTCCGGCTCGGCTCCGAGGGGGGAACGTCGACCTGGGATCGGCGATACGTCGCCGCCGGCTCGGCGAGACACAGACAGACAGACAGACAGACAGAGAAGCCGCGCCCAGACGGCGCATTGGCAAGAGAACTGCGGCAGGTGATGGCGTAGCTAGGCACATGCAGAAATAGCTAAAATGATGGACTGCGCTGCAGGCGGCTCGGTTGCACACCATTGGCAAACTTTGTACCGAATGGGAGGCGATGCGAGACACGGGACAGGATGGAATCCCCACACGTACCTGGACAGGCTGGGGCCATCGGGCCGCTGCGGGCGATCGATGGGCGATTGGGGATCGGCGCGTTATCCCCGCTAAGCCCATCCCCCCTCAACGTTGCCTCTGAACGAGGCGAGGGCAGCGGCATGGGTACCTCTCCCAAAAGAAGAGAAAACAAAAACAATGAACCAAACTTTTGGCGCTCCGCGCGGATTTCTGGGATCCGCGCAGGACCCCCTCCCTGGCGCGCGGAGCGCGCCACGGGTGGCGCCGGAAGCGCCGCCGGGGGGGCCCAGCCCGGATCCAATAAATCCGCGCGGAGCGCCAACACTTTATGCTTACGGCGTTTTGTTTTTCTTCGATCTCCTCCTCTGAGGCACCCGTGGGCCCCGAGAAGGAAATCGAGGGATGAAAAAACGCCCCTACCCTGGGTTGCAGGTTGCAAGTGCGTGGTCCGTAAACCTCCTGGGAGCTCCCAGAGGCCAGAGAGCCGCCAGGACGCCGCGCGACACGCGCGACATGCAGGGTCTACCCTGCCAGCCCACTGGAGGTTCAGCGCACAGCGCCTCCTAAACCACCAGGGTAGGGGCGTTCTGTACGCCGGTGAGGAAAGGAGCAGCTCTCTCGATCTCTGAGGCACCCGTGGGCCCCGAGAATCGGCGGCGACGATGGGGGCGAATGGCCCAGGGGCGGGCATTATACGCATTCGCGCGGGAGCCTCGCCGAAGACATGGGTCGCCAGCCCCCCTCGATACATACAATGCTCCCCCCTGGGCTATTCGCCCCTATCGTCGCCTCCGAGACAAGGAAAGGAGCAGCTCTCGATCTCTGGCCGACCACCTGGCGGGGGGGGGGCCAAATTCATGGATCGGTGGAGGTGCCCTCCCGAAAATGCGGCCGGTGCCGCCTCGCTCGGCGGCGGAAGCCCGCGATTTCCCATGGAAACGGAACCCGTCGCTGATCCACGCCTCCTTGATCCATGGTTGCGATCGCCCGATCTGAGGCACCCGTGGGCCCCAAGATGGAAAAGGCCAGCTCTGGAATGTATTGCACGCGAAAATCCAGCAATACATTTGCGCCCTGGAATGCGTTTCACACTCCAACTGTACTGTAACCCCACAAATCTGTTGACCAAGTCTGTTGCACCACCCCCTTGTCGCTGGACCCCCCTTCGGGCCAACCCGGCGATCGTCGCCCCCGAGAGAAGGAGAAAGACCAGCTCTCGATCTCCGGCCGACCGCCCGGCGGGGGGGCGCGCGGGGCGGCGGGGGCGCGCCCAGCCCGAGCTGTCCTCCTCCCGCACGCCGCAGGAGGAGCACCGGACCTCGGGCCGCCGCCGAAGCGCCGTGCCGCGCGCCTCGCCTCGCCACGGGGAGGGCTCGCTGAGCGAAGGCCGGCAGATCCGCGGCTGCTAGAACGTGACGGGCCCGTGTTCCACCACCACCACCATGACCATGCGCAGGAGCAGGAGGACGAGGAGGAGGAGGAGGAGGAGGAGGAGGAGGAGGAGGAGGAGGAGGAGGAGGAGGAGGAGTTGAAGGGGGAGGAGGAGGAGGAGGAGTTGGAGGGGGAGAAGGAGGGAGGAGGAGAGGTGGAGGAGGAGGAGGAGGAGGAGGAGGAGGAGGAGGACCCCCTCCCCCTCCAACTTATGGTGGTGGAAAACAGGCCCATCAAAACGGTCGTCCCGGAAGAAAAAAAGACATACCCGGAATCAAACTCAGCGCACTAAATAGTAAACAGGCTGCCTCCCGTAAGACAAAGAGCAGTTTCCCGGAGCTCCAGTTTAGCAGCCACGGGTCTGCCAGCCTTCCCCTGGCTTCTGGAGGGTTCCGAGGACTGCTCAGAACACTTTTTGCGTCGGCGGCGAGGCAGGTGTCGCCTGCGCTGGCGGGAAGGCCTGAGAGGGGGTGCCATCAGAGCGACGTGTGCCACCATGCGGGAGGGGGAGGGGCGGAGGAGAGGGGGCGGAGGGAGCGAGCCGCTCAAGGGGACGGGTCACGCCCCGAGCAGGACTGCTCAAAGCACTCGACTAGAATTCAAAGTGCAAGGCCCTGGTGACCTTTGTCAGCCCTCCTGGAAGGTCAGGGTATGAGCATCGTTTCTCCGACTCCTATCCCCAACGGCGTGGCCTAAGCCCGCACCGGCCGATTAACCCTCCCAAGATGGGGATGTATGCCGTTCCCTTCGGGCATCAAGGGGCATGTCCCCAACGGGGTTGGTAAAATGTTAAAGGTCTAGATAGGGATGGGGATGGGGATAGGGGTTGGTGAAACGATCCTATATCCACCTCCACTGGCAAGGCTCCTCCAGATCAGCCCAGGATGGGCCTGGCTGGTGGCAGCGGATATCCGCCCGTCCTCTGCCCCGAGATCGAGGAGGACCGGGGCGGGCGCAGGGGGAGAGGGGACACAAACCTCCCAGACGAGCACTGAACCCTTGCCCTCTCCCCCCCCCAGAGCGGCCATGAAAGGGCGGCGCCACTTGCCCAGACACCCCGCGAGACCCTGCAAGACAGCTCAGATCAGACCCCCCCCCCTCAGACCCACCCTTTTCTAAGACAACTCGGAGTCGCAGAGGGGAGCTCCTGATCTCGGGCCATCGCCGGCACCGGCAAGCGCCCCGTCTCGCCTCGCACGGCGCCGAGATCTGCATGCGTCCGCCGCCACTGGCCAGGCCCGTCCTGGGCCCAGGATGGTCGGCCACGCGCAGAGGGGGGTAGAGGGAGGCCTTCTGAGAAGCACCCCTGCTTCCTAGAAGGCGCGGGCCTTGTCCGTAGATGTAGGGCCGGCGCCTTCTGAGAACCAGCCTCCTTCTAAGAAGTCTTCCCCCCTCCCCCTACCCCTCCTTGTGCGCGCCGCCAGGATGGGTCTGGCAAGTGGCCGAGGATATACCCGGCCCACCGAGGGGGACCGGGGCGGGCGCCAAGGGGGGAGCCGCACAGGAGGGCGCTGGGCGACTTGCTCACAGGGGGGGGCGATGCATGTGTATGGGGTTGAAGTACAAGGGCACAGAACCCCTGATCCGTTGGTAGAGAGAAGGAGGGATAGATGGATATCTTTCCCTCCCGCACGATCAAGGTCTGATCGATCTATCTCAATACCTGAGCCCAAACGGCCAGGCGCAGGAGAGGTAAGGATAAGGAGTATATATGAGGGTATTACACGGGTTCCATTCACACCCCCCGCCCCGAATCCCGCCCGCGAAGGCAGGACTCGGGAACAGAGAAAGGGAATCCGTAACCTCTGAACTCCTTTAGTCCTTAAGTCAGTAGGCAGCTGGGCTTAAAATCAGCGAAGCCACAGCTGCAAAGTGAAGTTAGAAGGAGCACCCTGAGTCCCCCTTTCTTCGCCAGGCACACTTTGGTGCCCCCTCGGTGCGCCCCCCAAAACGCTTCGGCACTCGAGGGCGGAGAAGAATGAGACAAGGGTGGGCGGAGAAAGAAGATCGGAGCGTTAAAGCAACATGCGAACTGCCTCGCTTCTGCGAGGCAGGTGTTGCCACCAGCTATCAGATTATTCTCGACGCAATCAGGTTTAAACTGTTGAAATATGCGTGCTAAGATCGTGTTGACGAACACGATCTTGAAATGAAACACATCTTTGTGTAAAAGCAAATGTCTGGCCAGACAGAATGTCGTGTTGATGAACACGAAAACTCATGTGTATAAATTCTGTTTGGCGACTCCCGTTGGCGTTGCTCCTTAGGAGGCTGCCTCGGTCATCGCAAAAGGTATTTGTGTGTGGCCACTTGTGTTATATAATGAAGTGGCCTGAACATATGAAGTAGCCACCGCTCAAGGCGAACTTTGGTTATATTGAAGTTCGTGCCTTTGAGCGGTGGGCCTTGCGGCCGACTCGCTACGTGTTGCCGTTCTTGTAGAACCTGCGGTCCCACATCCTCTGGCCGTTGTACGTCACGTAGCTCGTCGTGAATGTCTCCCAAGCCGTTCTCGGGATCCAGTTGCAAAACCAATCATTGTGCGTGATGTCCTGGATGTATACGTACTCATCGTTGTTGATCGCGATGTAGATCCAACAGTTGATGTAGTAACTCCAGTACCTGAGCCCCCAGTAGCTGTCCTCGAGGTCATCGCGCCAGTACGCGGCGTAATCTGATGTACGCGCTCTCTTGGCACGCGGCCCCGCGGGCGTGTAGTCCGTCGCGCCTGAGGCGCTGGACGCAGCAGCATCGCCAGGAGCAGGGCGCGGCGGCGGCCGCGGATGGCGCGGCTCCATGGCATCATCGGACTGGTGGGATTGTGTATCGGGATCGGTTCTCACCCCTGTATCAACCCCCCTCTGGTCGGTATGTGCCGGATCGAGGGAGCCTAACAACTCATTGGCAATCGCGGCAAGCTTACGCTGAGTGAACTGTTCGCGGGTTCCGTCCCTTCTAGGTAGAGAAACCGCGACCAGTCCGCGGGCCTGCCGCGTCTGCCTGTCGAGGCGCCCCTCGTTGAGCCACAATTTCCTCCGACCAGCCTGTCCTGCCCTAATACTGACGTCGAGGATGTCCCACGCATCGCGCATGTCCTCCACGGTCCAGGGCTTCTTGCCGATGTTCACGCGGGCACCTGTCATTTGGTGGTGGAACTTGAGGTCGTTGAGAAAGCGTTGTACGAGATTGGCGAATGGGTAGTACAGAGGTCGGTCGTCCTCGGATTCGCCCATCAGTCTGCACTCGTGTGCAGGAGGGCTACCTGATTCGACCCACTTATGATGCCTCTTTCTGGACGCATTGGCCAAGCTCCGCAACTGGCCTTTCTCGCTGCCTGCGTGCGATCGCGCACCCGTCATAATGACGTGCGCACCGTCCTTCATGTATCTCGCGATGTGGTCCTCCGAGAGTGTCGTCTTGATCCAGTTCGTCAGCTTCTGGAGGTGCGCGAGATCGCTCTGTGTAGCGGTGCTCTTGCCCGTGGCGCCTACGGCCACGGTATACTGCCAACAGATATCACAAAGTGCGCCGTCACCTGTGACAATCCCGAAGGACAGATCTCGACCGCAATTCTCACAGAGCGGTATGGGATGCAAGGTCGTCTCGGGGGCCCCTTCCGAAGTGAGGTGATCGCGGGATCCCCAGCGGGTGTCCTGACCGCGAGCGAGGCTCTGGCCGATCTGATTGATCGCCTCACGATTGGTCTCGGTGTTCGGTCGGGAAGCGATTGATCTACTTACACCCTCGATCTCGATCCTAGACAATCTTTCCCCTGGCAGTCCTTTGTACTCTATCTTGGTGTTGTCTGTATCCTCGGTACCGCCATGGCATACGTTCTCCTCGCGAAGACGGCGAGCTTTGTCCTGCAATGTAGCCTCGTTGTCGCCCTCCTCGCGCTTGAGTCCCGTCTGCTCGGCTAAGATACGTACCATGGTTTCCTGATCGGGAGCTGCAGACGCAACGCTGCCTGGATCCTGGGGGATATCCTGCTCAGCGCCTTGCTCACGAGGCGCAGCAGGTGTTTCCACCAGCTCTTCCCATACAGGAAAGTCTGGATTACCGTATGTCTCAGTACAATTTTTGAATAGGTCACGCAATGCCCGAAGTGCAGGATGTTTCTCATGGATGGCCTCTTTGGTGAAATCTGGAAGCTCCGCAATACTATCTTTCAAGATGTTCTGGTATACTTTGGAGATCCATTGAAAGATGCCTGTGGTCGACTCCTCGATAGTCTCTGGGTCGAGGTAGTGTGCCAACTTTTTGAAGAAATGGTGTGCGCTGCAATTTGGTAAGTCACGTGCCCATTTGTGGGTATGATCGTAGTTCAATTGGTATGATTCTGCATTCCATGCTTTCGATCCAAATCGAATCTCAAATTGTAAATGCGACTGTGTTTTGTCCATTACAATTCTGTCTGCGCCACTGTGTATCTCGATGATCTGCTTCATATTGATCATAGGCGAATCCACCAGCAGCTCCGATGACCAACAATATACACGGCAGTCATCTGACTGTTTAATCCATCTTGAATCCTCGTCGGGGTCGTAATCTGGATGGTTAAGGAAGTCCGATGGTGGGTCAATGATGTTGTCGAGGATGCTTGCCTCAATCTGCTCATCTGCTTCGATGTCTGCCGAGAGATCTGCTCTCATGTTGTCGTTCGCAGCTTTCTCATCAGCAGTGAGCGTTATGTTCGATATGTCCACGATTACGGCGATCAAAAGATCACGCGATGATGCTGCAGTCTGTCGAGGATTGTCGCCCGCATGAGCGTTGTCCTCGGCAGGTGTGGCCACCAGCTCGTCGGGATCGGGTGTCCGAGGAGCGGGCCTTCTGGGCGGTGTACGCGGAATACGTGGTCTATGAATGCTCGGCATGCCAAGGTAT